CCTTTCTCCTGGTTTTTGTTGCAAGTTGCAAAATAAACTTCATTTTTAGCTGTGGTATTTTTCATCTAACATTTTTTATAAATATTTTTTGCTCTTAATAACCAGATATGTAAATAAGATGAAAAAGAATAAACTGTGACACAAAAGACAACTGTCTGTACATCTCACAGAAATAAATTACATTTACTCCGTAAGCTCTAAAATTTAATTCGGAGGAAATAGATCTTACTTGACTTATCAGTTCTGCATTAAAATACCATGGATCAGATCCCATCGAGAACGGCTTCGAGTAAAATGAGTAAAACGAGGTACTTTTCAAATGCAGCAATGTTAACTGTATGTTATTTATTTGGCTATTTAATCAAAACAATTATTTTATTATCATTTTTAAATCAAATTATATTTATGTACCTCTATGACAATGTATTTTGTATTTTTTTAGGTTTCCCATGTTGTTAAGAGCCTGTAGTCGAGAAGACTTGATTAATATAACCAGTAAATAATTACACAGAAGCTACCAGTTGTGTAAAAAACATTTCCAGCCCAGTAGTTTTTCATTTGGATCAACTCGGAAATGTTTATTTGAAAATATACTTTTGACAATATTCTGACACACACCTACAACAAATGAAATAATTGATCATTCTGAATGAATCTGTACCCTACTAAATCCCACGACGATTTTCTCAGTACACCAGGTATTAAAAATAATATAAAAGTGTTGTTTTTATGTATTTTTTAATTTAAATATTTTTTTTTAGGTCCCAGCAAAAGAATGACCAACTTTGAAGATTGAAGAGATATTGTTGTTTCTATTTTGATAATGCATGTGCCAGTCCCAAAAATATCCTTCGGTTGGGCCACAATTTTTAAACCAACCATTTGCAGATTAGTTAAATCTCAAGTGGAATTTAAAAACAAAAAGCCTCTAGCTAGAAGACATTCCAATGAATACAATCAGTTTGCGCTTACCTTGTATTTTTTAGGACCTAGGGCATATTCCTTTGTCTAAAATTTTGTGCCTTTCGATGTGTAGGTATTTTTCATATTGATATTTTTATTAATCTGATTTTTGTAATATGTGTTTTTCGTATTTTGGTTTATTAAAATTAATAGTCAGTATGGGTACGTGTTTTATTTATAACAACCTTTTTCCTACAGTACTTTTCATCAAATCTCAATTTAATTCATAGTTCCAATAATTATGCATCTAAAAATGCAAATTTATGTATACAACAAATTCATATGATTTATAAACAATCCTAAGTCGTCTGGATTTATGAAATACAGCTACGAGGATGTGCCATAATATAAGTTTTCCAAAATAAAGTCCTAAGATGTATCATTGATGCACCCTGGCTCTATCTAAACGATTATCTTCATACAGACAAATAAGAAAAAGAGGTTACTGCAAAACATGAGGGTCGACTCCACTCCCACGTTAATGAAGTGCTGCAATTACTGGACAACTCTGCACAGAAGACTCGAAAGAAAAGCCATTTGAGCTAGTGCTAGTGTAAAACAGTGTAATAAATCGATACGCCAATTATTGGTGATGCTTTTCTACCAACGACTACTAGATTAATTTTGTTTACAAAAATGGAATTGTAAAAATTCACAGATTTATCCACCGAGTTGTCAAATTATTATAAGACTATGGCGAAAGTCTTAATACAAGGATTGTTTATGGTATTATTGACATATGATAAGGTTCTAAAACACATAAAAGGCTTTCAAAATGACAGTTCGGAAGTATTTTCATTTTTAATGCCAGTTATTATCAGTTTAATCTATTTTTCTAAGTACACAATTAATTAATACATCAATAATTTGTAATAGAATCCCTCTGTTAAAGAGTTAATGTTATAAAAAAAAACTGATGAATTAAGTACAACGAGCATTCGGTCTGGTTCCTCAAGTAAAAACTCTTTTTTAATATAGCGATCAGTACAATTTACTTCAAAATAAATTATTGTATTATTTATAAATGAACATTAAATTATTTTTAATGACAATTGATGTGTCTAGTTTCTATAATTGCGGTGTTGCCAAATCGAGTAAGAAAACATATAAGTCAGGAAATAATTCGGTTAGTGAAAGTTGGCTGAAAAATTACATAGTGTCCGACCAGCAGGTAAATTTGGATCTCGAAGTGAAAACATTTGTAGTAATCACAGACAACCGTCTTTTTATTTCATTTCATGATGATTGTACATTAATTACGGCATGTCGGTACTTATCTAATATTTAAAATACATTTTTTTTCAATTTGAGCTAGGTCCAGGTGTTGGGAACCTCTCGTTGAATTAATTAAAAGATTCACTTTTCTTTTCACTACTTTTATTTTATACTTAGATGGAAAATATATACAAGTGCGTTGATGTTAATAGTACAAAACTACTTAAAATACTGAACAAGTTTGTAAATAGAATTCTGGTTTTATATGAACGAGGGACCTGTGACGCTTCTTTGCGGCATGTGTCCTAATTGGATTTCGTAATTAAATCGAAAGATTGTAGCTAAATGGAATATCGTTGATAACTTTAGGTTAAAGTAATAAAATCTGATTTATTGACACGAGACATCTTTATGAATTTTCGTAATGCCTTAAATGCATTAAGATAAGATAGTCTAAAGTTTCACTTCAAAGATATTTTGTAATAGAAATATATTTGTATTATACAGGGTACAACACAGGCCGTTGGAGTTTATGCCGGTTGGCGTAGCCAGGTATGGTTTAAAAATTTTCTGGTGGCGGCAAAGCCACCACCTTACAAGAAGTCGTTTCTTCATTTTCTTATTGTATATTTTCTTATTATTAGATGCCCACGATACAAGACACGTTCGTTAAAAGTTGGGATCGACGTTTATGGGCCAGACGCTAATGAGGGTTGGTTAGGTTAAATTAGGTTTTTTTTTCAATTTGAGCTGTGTCCAGGCCGTTGGAGTTTATGCCGGTCGGCGTAGCCAGGTATGGTTTTAAAATTTTCTGGTGGCGGCGAAGCCGCCACCTTACAAGAAGTCGTTCCTTCATTTTCTTATTGTATATTTTCTTATTATTAGATGCCCACGATACAAGACACGTTCGTTAAAAGTTGGGATCGACGTTTATGGGCCAGACGCTAATGAGGGTTGGTTAGGTTAGGTTAGGTTTTTTTTTCAATTTGAGCTGTGTCCAGGCCGTTGGAGTTTATGCCGGTAGGCGTAGCCAGGTATGGTTTAAAAATTTTCTGGTGGCGGCGAAGCCACCACCTTACAAGAAGTCGTTCCTTCATTTACTTATTGTATATTTTCTTATTATTAGATGCCCACGATACAAGACACGTTCGTTAAAAGTTAAGATCGAGGTTCACTGGTCAGACGCTAATGAGGGTTGGTTAGGTTAGGTTAGGTTTTTCAATTTGAGCTGTGTCCAGGCCGTTGGAGTTTATGCCGGTAGGCGTAGCCAGGTATGGTTTTAAAATTTTCTGGTGGCGGCGAAGCCGCCACCTTACAAGAAGTCGTTCCTTCATTTTCTTGTTGTATATTTTCTTATTATTAGATGCCCACGATACAAGACACGTTCGTTAAAAGTTGGGATCGAGGTTCACTGGTCAGACGCTAATGAGGGTTGGTTAGGTTAGGTTAGGTTTTTTTTTCAATTTCAGCTGTGTCCAGGCCGTTGGAGTTTATGCCGGTAGGCGTAGCCAGATATGGTTTAAAAAATTTCTGGTGGCGGCGAAGCCGCCACCTTACAAGAAATCGTTCCTTCATTTTCTTGTTGTATATTTTCTTATTATTAGATGCCCACGATACAAGACACGTTCGTTAAAAGTTGGGATCGAGGTTTACGGGCCAGACGCTAATGAGGGTTGGTTAGGTTCGGTTAGTTGAAGAGTTTTTAAAACTGGCGGGAAAATTGTATAATCCTTGCAATTTAGAAAATATCAATATTGACGTCGAAGAGTATTCTGCCGATGAGGGCGAGGAAGAAGATCTTGATATGGGTATTTTTTAAATTGTTAGTTTTATATAATTTTCCTAATACTGAAGTCAATTGGTTGGCCTGGTACAACGCAGGGCATAGGTAAAAATTACCATTGCTATGTAATACATAATTGATATGGCAACATTGTATTTCTTTTAGACACATGTCACACTGCCAATGTTAATTGTCATTGCGGTTATGAAAATTTGATCATTTTGACGAACTTTAAGTTGGTCGTAAATTAAGAAAATAATACTATTTACGAAAAAATTTGGATGATTTATTGCATTATGGATGGTCTAGTGTTATTATTTAGCAGTTTCTATAACAAGAAATTAATCAAAATGATGTAGTTTAAATTTTTTCAACATCGAAATTGGAGGACACATTTTAATAGTTTTAAGGTAAGAAAAAAATATTTTATAGCGTTTGCAGGGCAAAAAAAGTATTTTGAAATGTGTTTCAGAAGGTCTAAAATCGTTTAAAAAAAAAATTTTTTAAAAATAGCCCGTTCGACTGTTGGCGGATTTTTCCGAAAATTTTTTGCCCACTCATATCCAGGAACGTTGTTATGAAGAATATTAATAGTCTTCCCAGTTCGATCTAAGTAAGACTTCACAATAAGCCTAACATCTCTGGTAGTAAGTGTAAAATTCCATTTTGCTGCCGTCATAATGCCTTCGCTTAATATTGATTCCTCAGCTGCAGATAGGACTGTATGGCCGCCATAATTTTTTTCGCATTTAATTCCCTTTAAGTGATTGTCGAGGTCGAAAAAAATCATGAATCCTATACTTTCCTTATATCTGTATACAGATAGGAAAGTAAACAGATGCAAATGATCCTTATAGTTCTAAAACATGTAAATTAAAACGCAAGCAAACAAAAATAATTATCTCAAGCGATAATATTTTGTCTAGGGAGAATCATAAATATTTATTTCTTAGATAAAATTTGTTTAAATTAACTTTTTCCAGACTAATCTTATTTTTTATCTCGTTTTAAGGTATTATAAATATTTTTTTTTTTACTTGCCGACAGTGTTTGCGAAGTAGTTAGTGTTACCAATTCATTTATTTGTAAGTAGAAACACAATAAGTCTTTTTTAATACATTTTCCATTGCCAAAGGTGATAGTATTTTAATTTTTTAAATTGTATCGAAATATTAGTATCCTTTATAAAAAAATCAATGTTTTTACAGTTCATCAAATTTCTAGAGGTGTTCGACGCCCAGACAGAGAACGCGCTACGTGTGACTAAGATAGCTATTGTACAGTCTGCTAAACAAGTTATTTTAAATAGTTTTTAATATTTTTAGGTAATTAAATTTTAAAAGTGTGGAATAGTTTAGGGATTAAATTGGTCTGATTGGACTTTCTTAGAACGTTTTTAAAAGCAGCTAAAGATAGTATGTAGAATTGAAAATAATTATTATGCCATAAAAGGTATTTTGGAATTCCTTCAACCTTTTGAAATTGAGTCAGAAAATATAAATTTTATAGGATAGCGGAAAATACCTATAATTTTTTTGTAGGCCTTTGTAAATCGTGGAAATAGTTTATATTTTATTTCTACCTTATTAAGGAAAATGGTACCTATTATTAATAACGGTTGTTTCTGAAACATTACTAAAATTTTCGAAATTTTGTTTTTCTACAAAATAATAAACTATACTATTTAGAAAAAAATTTAATTCTCTTATAATTTTATAAAAAATAACAGGGGAATATTTACATTTCTTGATCTAATAAACAAAACGATAAATTATCTCGACGAATGACACCATGTTCTAGTACGGAAGCTAGCTTTACAGTTCATCAAATTTCTAGAGGCTTTCGACGGCTAGACAGAGAAAGCACTACTGACAGGCATCCCGACGGATTTACGCAATGAAAGTACACTCTGCGCATCAAGTATTTCACTATTTCATTCAGACGTAAATGTCAGATGTAAATTTCGCTAAAACATTTCTTTTATTTTCGTTTGTGTTTTTTGCTCATTACAGTTTAATAGAACCTAATTATGGAGTTTAATAGCAAATTAAGAGGCCGCGTGATTAACAGTCAATCTCGCGAAATAATAGCCAATATTGTAGAGTTTATGAGAAGAGAAGGAAACTTTAATTCACCTTCAATACCATTTAAAAATGTAAATGATCGTGTTGCTGCAGCCACAGGAGTATCTAAAAACACTGTCGTCCGCATTTCTGGAGAGAAAAAAAGAATCGATAACCGTGAGATATCGGAATTTTCATCACCAAGAAAAACCATTAAAAAACCAAAAACAGTTTATGATATAGATGAAGCTGCACAAGAATCAAATTTAATTTTTTTATTATTAGATAGCTATTTTTGTTTCTGAGTTGTGTTCATTTACAGGCTCAATTTTTTTCCGTTTCTCCTTTTTGATTTTATATGAGGTTTCAAGTTGTTTTTGACTTATTTCGACGTATGTACGTGTAAACTACAATTACAAAAAATTGATATGAAACCCATGAAACCACCAACAAAAATGTAAAGCTAGCTTCCGTACTAGAACATGGTGTCATTCGTCGAGATAATTTATCGTTTTGTTTAATAGATCAAGAAATGTAAATATTCCCCTGTTATTTTTTATAAAATTATAAGAGAAATAAATTTTTTTCTAAATAGTATAGTTTATTATTTTGTAGAAAAACAAAATTTCGAAAATTTTAGTAATGTTTCAGAAACAACCGTTATTAATAATAGGTACCATTTTCCTTAATAAGGTAGAAATAAAATATAAACTATTTCCACGATTTACAAAGGCCTACAAAAAAATTATAGGTATTTTCCGCTATCCTATAAAATTTATATTTTCTGACTCAATTTCAAAAGGTTGAAGGAATTCCAAAATACCTTTTATGGCATAATAATTATTTTCAATTCTACATACTATCTTTAGCTGCTTTTAAAAACGTTCTAAGAAAGTCCCATCAGACCAATTTAATCCCTTAACTATTCCACACTTTTAAAATTTAATTACCTAAAAATATTAAAAACTATTTAAAATAACTTATTTAGCAGACTGTACAATAGCTATCTTAGTCACACGTAGCGCGTTCTCTGTCTGGGCGTCGAACACCTCTAGAAATTTGATGAACTGTACATTTTTGTTGGTGGTTTCATGGGTTTCATATAAATTTTTTGTAATTGTAGTTTACACGTACATATACCTCTTAGCACTTGTTTGCTTTATTAAAAAAGTGTGTTGTTGTGATTTACGTCGAAATAAGTCAAAAACAACTTGAAACCCCATATAAAATCAAAAAGGAGAAACGGAAAAAAATTGAGCCTGTAAATGAACACAACTCAGAAACAAAAATAGCTATCTAATAATAAAAAAATAAAATTTGATTCTTGTGCAGCTTCATCTATATCATTAACTGTTTTTGGTTTTTTAATGGTTTTTCTTGGTGATGAAAATTCCGATATCTCACGGTTATCGATTCTTTTTTTCTCTCCAGAAATGCGGACGACAGTGTTTTTAGATACTCCTGTGGCTGCAGCAACACGATCATTTACATTTTTAAATGGTATTGAAGGTGAATTAAAGTTTCCTTCTCTTCTCATAAACTCTATAACATTGGCTATTATTTCGCGAGATTGACTGTTAATCACGCGGCCTCTTAATTTGCTATTAAACTCCATACTTAGGTTCTATTAAACTGTAATGAGCAAAAAACACAAACGAAAATAAAAGAATTGTTTTAGCGAAATTTACATCTGACATTTACGTCTGAATGAAATAGTGAAATACTTGATGCGCAGAGTGTACTTTCATTGCGTAAATCCGTCGGGATGCCTGTCAGTAGTGCTTTCTCTGTCTAGCCGTCGAAAGCCTCTAGAAATTTGATGAACTGTAAGGTTTGTTTTTGTTAAGTAATATTAATAACAACTTCTTGTCTTACTACTCTCAGCTTTTTAATTCAAACTCTTTATACCTATATCTTTATACCTACATCCATTTATCTTTATTAATTAGCATAAATGATTTGTCTGACACTATTATTGATAATAAGTTCGATATATTATCTTTCTATTGAAGTTGCCAATGCTGAGGTTAGTATTCCTAGTCACTCTTTTTTTAGAAAGGATAGAAATCGTCATGGCGGGGGGATAAGATCTTGTTTTAAGTGCAAACTGTTCAAATTTGATCATTCTTTTTATACTGCCAGCTTAGAGCATTTATCGGCAACCTTTAAAATTCATAATAATAATAATAATAATAATAATAATAATAATAATAATAATAATAATAATAATAATAATAATAATAATAATAATAATAATAATAATAATAATAATAATAATAATAATAATAATAATAATAATAATAATAATAATAATAATAATAATAATAATAATAATAATAATAATAATAATAATAATAATAATAATAATAATAATAATAATAATAATAATAATAATAATAATAATAATAATAATAATAATAATAATAATAATAATAATAATAATAATAATAATAATAATAATAATAATAATAATAATAATAATAATAATAATAATAATAATAATAATAATAATAATAATAATAATAATAATAATAATAATAATAATAATAATAATAATAATAATAATAATAATAATAATAATAATAATAATAATAATAATAATAATAATAATAATAATAATAATAATAATAATAATAATAATAATAATAATAATAATAATAATAATAATAATAATAATAATAATAATAATAATAATAATAATAATAATAATAATAATAATAATAATAATAATAATAATAATAATAATAATAATAATAATAATAATAATAATAATAATAATAATAATAATAATAATAATAATAATAATAATAATAATAATAATAATAATAATAATAATAATAATAATAATAATAATAATAATAATAATAATAATAATAATAATAATAATAATAATAATAATAATAATAATAATAATAATAATAATAATAATAATAATAATAATAATAATAATAATAATAATAATAATAATAATAATAATAATAATAATAATAATAATAATAATAATAATAATAATAATAATAATAATAATAATAATAATAATAATAATAATAATAATAATAATAATAATAATAATAATAATAATAATAATAATAATAATAATAATAATAATAATAATAATAATAATAATAATAATAATAATAATAATAATAATAATAATAATAATAATAATAATAATAATAATAATAATAATAGAATAGACGTTTATTGACCTCTTTCATACAATAGGTGGTACATTGAAGGGTGTTTATTAATTAAGTGCCGATACTTAAGGGTGTGAATCCTTAGGTGATTTTAAGAAGAAAAGTTAATATCAACATATGTCGTAACTCACTTAATTTTTGAGCTACAGGGTGTTACAGTTTTAAGAAAAAAATTACTTTTTTATCATAATTTTTTTATCACTCCAGATATTTCTATGACATTTTGTACACACGTTTTAATAATTAAGGAGCATTTTTTGACGTATAAGATTTTTTTAAATTTGTACCAGTGACGTCCGTACGGGGTTTGAACTGAATATTTTTAAAGAAAAATGGTACGCCATTGCTTTTTCTGAAAACCAAAATTATTTTTGAAATCATCATTTATTTTGGAGCAAACTTGGCTCATAGACTTACTTTCGTACGATGCACCGTTTTCGCGTAAAAAAAATAAAAACCATTGTAGTGGTTGGTCAAATTTTTTCCTTAAATTCATTGATACCTACTGCTTTTGATATTTTGTTGAAATCTGGAGGCACCCACCATGCGTGGAATCATTTTTTTGGGACAAAAATTAATTTTCTACGTTTTGAATAGAAAAAAATGGTAAGCGCATTAGTAGGCTGGGTAAAGCGTCATCATTTTTGACGTTTCTTTTCATAAAGACAATAAAGTTGACATTGATTTTACATTATTAAATAATTATTATTAGAGTAAGAGTTAAAATCTGAAAAAAAAATGGTAAATTTTACGAACCATGAATAAGCTGACATGCATTTTAGTTATGGGCTTGCAGACGGAAATGCATACGAATCCAGACGG